TCCCCCCCCCCCCCCCCCCCCGACCCGGGTTAAACTTTACATGTAGTAAAATTAGACTCGGGCTTGATCGATTGATATCCCAAAAGGGTTATGGATGATGTGGATATCATGAAAATAAGTAGGATCTTTTGCATAAATAGCCTTTTAAAATATTTATCTCAAGTGATTTTTAGAAAAACTTTTTCTTTCAAAAAAAAAAAACTACTACCTCAGTCCCGCTATATTCGTCCACTTTTGACTTTTGAAACTGTTCATCTATGCACTTTGACTCATCAAATTCTTTCAATGTGTAAGCCTAAATATAGTCATGTGTGATCTTGTTTGATTTGTCTTAACATATAGATTATTAATATATAATTTCTATAATTTTTTAATATACAAATTACAAGATAAAATGAATTAAAGAAGTGCATTGGATGATGTGTAAAAATGAAAGTGGACAAATACTCTGGGACAGATGGAGTATACTCTAAACTAAAGACATGTTTTTGTCTGATTTGATTGATTTTAATATGATATTCTTTTATCTATTTCTAATAAGAATAAATAATACAAATAAGTTTATATATTTAAAACTAACTTAAAAACTTCTTCAAAACTAGAAATCACAAGAATTTTTGATTTTATCAAATAATCAATGAAAATGTACAATTTAAAAAAGTTCTTGTAATGTTTAAATAGTGAACTATGACATTCTGTTTGAGACATGAAAACTTGGGATCACAAATATAAACATAGAGAGTGTATATGCAATATGAATTTGGTAGCACATGTAATTATGTATAATCAAACAATTTTAGGATAAATTTTACCACGAAGTATTTTTTTAATCATGTAGATTACTTTCTTTTGAAATGTAATTTAACTTTAAAAATATCAAAATTAAACATAGTTAAATATTTGTTTTTTAAATGTCAAAAGCTTAATGCCTTAAAATTAAAACGGACGCTTTAGAAAGTTTAGTGAAAAAAAAAAGAAATCGGGTTTCACATTTGGGTACCCGTTTCAAATCTGGGCATTACATAACGGCTACTTCCGTTCCATTTCCCCTTCATCTTCTCAAAATTACTCCCCTGAAACTCTCTCTGGCAAGAAACTACAATACGATTTCGAATCTTTTCAACCCTGATTTTGCAATCACTACTCGAGATTTTCGATTTGGGCGTCAAGATTATTACTTTCTTTCTGGGATCAATCGGAGAAGAGGATCGGAGATGTTGGAAGAGGGAATTTCGGCGACTTGTAGGGGTTTCTATACGCCGCCACCCAAACGGAGTAGCTATCAGTTGCCATCTCCGGCGACCCAGACGAGGCCTCCTCATCCCCACAGCGCCGGCGGCAAAGAGGAACTATTTCACGTCCTTCACAAAGTGCCCGCCGGCGACTCTCCCTATGTCCGGGCCAAACACGTTCAGGTAAATTTCTATAAAAATTGAATCTTGAATTCTTTCAGTCACATTTCTTTTCAGTTTCTACAACGAAATAGAATTATTGGAGTAATTGAATACTTCTGTTCTGATGAAACTGAGAAAATGGCAGCTCATAGAGAAGGATCCGAGCCGGGCCATTTCTTTGTTCTGGGCTGCCATTAATTCCGGCGACAAGGTGGACAGTGCCCTGAAGGATATGGCAGTTGTGATGAAGCAGTTGAACCGTTCCGATGAGGCGATTGAAGCCATCAAGTCTTTTCGCCATCTTAGCCCAGCACATTCCCAAGAATCCATTGATAACATCTTGTTAGAGCTGTACAAGAAATCCGGCAGATTTGAGGATGAGATTTATCTTCTTGAACATAAGCTCAAGAACATTGAAGAAAGTATGGCTTTTGGTAGGAGGACAACTAAGATTGTTAGATCTCAAGGCAAAAAGACTGAAGTCACACTTAACAAGGAATACTCCAGGTATTTATATATACATAAATATTCTACATTACCTTTTTCAATTTCCTGCCCACTTGAAAATAATGATGATGATGGTGATGATGATGGTGATGAATTGATGATAATGATGATGATGATAAATTGATGATAATGATGATGGTGGTGATGATGATGATGAATTGATGATAACGATGGTGATGGTGATGATGATGCAGGTTGCTTGGTAATTTGGCATGGGCTTACATGCAAACAGATAACTTCAAGTTGGCTGAAGAGAACTACAGGTATGGTGCATAAAAGCTTCTTTTTTAACCCTTGCTTTGAGGTCAGTTAGAAAGCTTTATGAGATTTGTACTTAGTCTATTAATATTCTTTTTCTGAATGGGTGCAGAAAAGCTCTTTCCCTTGAACCAGACAAGAACAAGCAGTGCAACCTTGCAATCTGCTTGATGCAAATGAACAAGATTGCGGAGGCCAAGTTTCTGCTTCAATCCATCAGAGCTTCTTCGTCGCAAGATCGCGAAGAGATGAGCGACTCGTGCTGCAAGTCCCTTGACCGCGCCATGGAAATGCTCTCGGAACTAGAGCGAAAACCATCTGGCATTTGCTTGGGGAGAAAACATGGGTGTCCTGTTTCTGGTAGGGGAAGTCCAAGGACCTCGGCGTGGTCGTCTAGAGCCAGCAGAAGACTGCATTTTGAGAAGCCCAACTTCAAGACAGGGTCTCACTTTCGCGATGGGAATTGGAGAAGGGACCCGAAATGCAATTTGCCCATTAGTTTGGATGCATCAGAAGCATCATCACCATCACCATCAACTTCTGGTTCAAGAAAATCTGGGTTCTTCCCTTCCACTGCTAAGGAGAAAATGCAGAAGAGTTGGGCTGATATGGTTGAAGAAGAAGAAGAAGGAGGAGGCAATGATGAAAATGAAGAGTTCTTGGTAACAGGAAGAGTTGAAACACTGGATATCAATGGTGGGTACCACACACAACCTGAAGAAATTACCAAACACCATTCCAAGTGCTTTGACACTTCTTTTGTTGGTGGCTCATCATCTGCTTGGCATAAGGAGTTAAACTTTGATAATATGGACAGTTTGGCTCTTCCTCCTCATGTGCGCGATTTCGCGACTGCCACGGAAATGCCTCTTCGCAAGCTGAAGCAAAGGAACAATAACAGGCTGCAAGTGTTTCAGGACATAACTCCTTGATCAGTGACACTCTCCTTTTTAGGCTTTGTTTGATCATTTGTTGTGTGCAGATATAAAAAGACATAGTTGTAAATACCACCAGCTTTGATTGAAGCTGCAAGTTTGATTTCTGTTCTTGTTGTAGTCATAAAAAAGATATCTTTCTTTTCTTTTTTTTTACTGTGAATACTTAAGTATATATTCTGCTGTGAAAAAGGGATGAAATTAAGTGAGCAATTTGGGAGGCATCAAATGTTTGTTCTTTATTTTCAAATCTGTCTCATACCTTATGGTGGATTAAATTGTCTAATGTAGTAATGAACACATGCTTTCATTTCTTGTTTTTTTAAAATATAGATATAAATATGCATTCATATATCTTTATTGATTATTGAAGACAATATGCTACACACATTGTTGTATTGCCACAAATGTTTAATAATTTTATTTAGGGTCATATACACTTGGTGAAATCTATTCGTCAAACGTTTGCCACAAATAGCAAATGAGACAGTTAAAAAAGGATGAAGAGACGAGAGCCTATACTATATAGTGAAATTTCTAATCAACTTACTATACTATATATTCCGTATCAAGTTGAATGTAACAATCTATTTCGTGAGCGGAACAGTATTTGAATGAAATAAGTTTGAATTTTTTTTTTTGAAAAAAAATGATGGGAGTTGTATTTAATTAGGGTATCGAAGTACAAATTGTCACAAATAAAATTTGAAGGGACAAACATTCACTCTAGGAGATGATAAGTTTTGAGAAATATTTATTCACTCTAGGAGTTCTTCCTTTAAGTGTTTGTACCTCATGCATTACATGTTGTACTATCTAAAAAAGTCTACAAGTTTAAACTTATGGGGGATTAAGTTGTCTATGAATTTATGATGAGGTAAGAATTACTGGATTAAGCTATAAAATATTTGGATTGAACTGTATTAAAAAATTGAACCCAATCTATTACTTAATTCAACTTAAGAGCTTGTATATCGATTACTTTTTAAAAATGCGTCTTTCAATACTTAAAAATGCGTATTTCAATACTTAAAAATGCTTATATACCATATATAGATGTCCACAATGGACCTTAAGTACAGATAATAATTTGCCTTTATTTCTTGTTTTTTAAATATAAATACAAATACTTCTATGATTCTCAGGTCCATTTTAATTATATGGATCTTACTGTTGTGGATTGCTTAGTATTAGTATTAGCATTCGAATTAAGATTAGGAGATTAAGATCAGACGTGGAGTCTAGATGCAAAGAAGCGCCAGTCAAATACAAATATGTACTCTATCTTTATTAATTGAAGACAATAACATGTAGCACACAGAGTACACAATTATTTAACAATTTTATTTAGGGCTAGATACAATATGTGGTCATATGATCGAAGTATTATTCTTGTGTGTGTGTGTATATATATATAGACTTTATTTTTATTGGATGGAGATTGTGTATATAAAAAGCATGATTTGAAACTTATTAATTGTAATCAATTAAATATTAACATAGACGAGTATTATTGGAGTAGTAGAGGCGGCAACCACGGCTTCTACTAACACAACAATTTGTGCAGCCTGCTTCAGTCTTTTTTTGCTTGGGTGGGCACTTTATATATGCCGCGTCTGGGTCGCAATTTCTAGGGCACCCCGCCGCCTGAGCATCCACATTTTTTCCCACTATAAATATGCCTGCATATATACAAATACAAATAATTAACCTTCTTTTTAATTTTAAGTAGTTATATTTATGGAAAATTTATTTAAATAGTACTAAAACATCATGTGTTTTTTTCCCAATGTAACACTTTTAGTCATTATCCATTAGTCATTATTCAAGTAAATGCTCGCCATCACATGACATTATCACCTCTTCTGGACATTATTAAGTGCTATTTAAGGAATAAAACAGTTTAAGTGTTATTTAAATAAATGACTTAAGTTTTAGTAATTATACCGAGATCGACCTAATATTAGGGGGTGGAAAGTTTAGGGGATGGGTTAATCTCAATCTCGTCCTTAGAGAGGTCGCCCCGTACCCGGTGCACACAAGGAGCTATTGCAAATAATAGGACTCCACGTTGCCGCTGTCGAAATTCGACCCCAGAATTAACGGGTTTGACATTTTCTATTTGGACCAGTTGGGCTACCCGTCCGGGCAATACATATCCAATCAAAATTACACAGAAGTTGTTAGACAAAAAGATCTACTTTAAAATTACAAATTGACCTTAAAATTAAGGGTTGATAGCACGGATACCTCGTGATTTATAAAAAAAGCACCAAAACACGTTCTCTTTTAAAAAATTATTTGTAAACCAATATGGTTTCTAAACTTGCGGTGGGGTTCTAGTGACACCCACTTTTGGTGACACTAGCGGTGCCACTATCATTTTAGGGCACTTCCGGTGCTCCGTTCGTAAAATTGACGGTTCCTACCCCCATAACCCATCCCCTAAACTTTCAACCCTGCAATGCATAATACCCACACATTTTGTGGGGGGCTTACGGCGGGGTTGGGGTGCAGGGGCGAGGATAGGGTGGGAGGTTTAGGGGGTGAGTTAGGGGGGTTGGAACCGTCAATTTTACGAACGGAGCACCGGAAGTGCCCCAAAATGACAGTGGCACTGCTACTGTCACCAAAAGTGGGTGTCACTAGAACCCCACTGATAAACTTGAAATGACATTTATGTCTTTTTTCCCTATCATGCAGTTTCACTCTTTTATCTTTTCCATTTTAATTTTTTTGCTTGTATAAATAAATAAAATAACATGTACACTTTCCATCTCAAAAAAATCATATATTTATTTTAAAAAACAAAATAATTTTTTTGGGGAAACATTACAAAAAAGTAAAAATAAAATAAAAGAAAAAAAGGATACAAAAGTTATTCAAAAAGAAGGAAAAATTAAAGAACTATCCTTTTCTTTAACTCCATATTTTATTTCATTTTTCCATTCTCCATTTTTTAAATCCCATAATAGTTTTTCTAATTTTGATTATAATTGGTTTTAAACTTGAGAAGGAGTGAGTTTATGTCATTTTTTATTTTAATTATTTCAATTTTACTTGAAATATTAAAGGTAGCTTTTTTATTTTTCTTTCATTATTTTTTCTTATTCTTTTTTCTTTTATTCTGTACGGAGTATTTTATTTCATTTTCCAACTTTTCATTTTCTTTTGTGACATTCTACTAGTCATTTTCCAACTTTTCATTTTCTTTTGTGACATTTTCCAACAAAGGGCAAGATGTTTTTATTTTTTAACAATTTTTTTTTTGAAATAGTCCAATTCAAAATAAGAAAAAAAATAATATGAAAAATATGAAAAAAAAGAAAATAATACTTTTATATCTGCGCCTAATGCATTTCAAATTGATGAACCAATACTATATTCAGATACTCTCGATTCTCTATCACTAACTTCGTAAATTATGATAAATTACATGATGGGTGTTTCGATGATTCTAAGGAGCGAGACAATGCACAATTGGTTGTTCTTGGTAGTTTACCAAGATAAGGGCACTGATTTGATAGACATCTTTGCCCCGGTTGCAAAAATGGGGACTGCACACATTCTTTTATCAATTGATCTACGTGGCTAAAAACTAGGGAAGTTTACCAACTTGATGTGAACTGTTATGGATTATATAGTAGGATATTAGATTATATATTTATTAGTTTAATATTAATAATATTATGATACGAACTCCGTATCGTATAGGGAAGACTCAGAGCGTCTTTGAGCTCTTGAAATATGGGACGAGGAAGAAGAAGAAGAATTGAGGCGAAGAAGGAATCGGCGAACCGAGAGGGGAGAAGGAATTAGGGTTTTGAGTTGTTTATTGATTGAATTATTCTAAAGGAGTTACATCTCTATATATAGGAGACAAAGTAACCCTAGCTAACCCTAAACCTAACCTGACGGTTCAATAAAAGCGACGAGGAAAAGAACCGTAAAGAAACCTCGAAGGAGCTTATAATTTTGCTCACCTAATAAAATCTACATTACAATAATAATAATAATATTAATAATAATAATAATAATATTAATATTAAACTAATAAATATATAATCTAATATCCTACTATATAATCCATAACAATACCTCCAACAGAAACATCATCGGCATCAACGGCAGGAACTCTTACTGAATCCCCAACCGTACACTCCACAGATTCTATGTCAGTAGGTGCAGGATTGTGTAGAGTGGTTGTAGGGGCTAGATCAGGTGGAGCAATGGGAACACCGAGAAGATTCCTTATAGCATCCATCATCTTTGTTTTGAAACTTTTTAACTCCAAGGGAATATCACTCAATGACATCGGGGTACCACGCACCAAATCTTGTAACGAGCAAGAGATTTCCACATTGAACGCATATAACTCAGAGTCAGAATACGATAGATCTAAAAGATGACGAAATAAGTGGAGCGTCTTCAAAATTTCATCCACATGATCATAAGCTATACAGACCCCGTCATGAAACTCAACTCTTCCATAAAAGATATTTTTCAACACACCAAGAAGTTTGTTCAAAGCATCATCCATGGTCACAATAATTTTATCTAAAATCGAGACCATAGTTGTGAGTGATAAGACTGATCCAAAAAAACAATGAAAAAGCAATGCACTTCAGGGAGGAACAGTACTCTTACATACGGCAAAACATGTAGACTTCAAATTGTGAATTCTTTTGGCTATTCCGCAATTGGGGCTTTATCCTGTTTGACTGTTTTTTTTTGGATCGGCAGTATATAGGGGCTTCACCCTCTCCCCAACTTTGCGAATTTGGTGAGGGACGGTGTTTCCTCGTCCAAGATTTCTTCCGGCAGCAGCAATGAGGAAAAAAAACTGGTGGCGTAAATTGATCTATTCCGCCGTCAACAGGGCTGCAATTCTTTTTTTCTCCAACAAAAGCACCAAATAGATTTGGAACAGCCGATTGTGTTCAGCGGCAGAGGTAAAGCTCAGACCTAGCAATTCTGGTTTTCTCTCGTCGGCGTGAAAATTCGCACAAACAGATCTGGAACGGCTGGCAACAACAGATTGTTTTTTTTTTGTTTTTTTGGGTGTTCAAATCAATGAGAGCACTAATGATACGAACTCCGTATCGGATAGGGAAGACTCAGAGCGTCTTCGAGCTCTTGAAAATATGGGACGAAGAAGAAGAAGAAGAATTGAGGCGAAGAAGGAATCGGTGAACCGAGAGGGGAGAAGGAATTAGGGTTTTGAGTTGTTTATTGATTGAATTATTCTAAAGGAGTTACATCTCTATATATAGGAGACAAAGTAACCCTAGCTAACCCTAAACCTAACCTGACGGTTCAATAAAAGCGACGAGGAAAAGAACCGTAAAGAAACCTCGAAGGAGCTTATAATTTTGCTCACCTAATAAAATCTACATTACAATAATAATAATAATAATAATAATAATATTAATATTAAACTAATAAATATATAATCTAATATCCTACTATATAATCCATAACATGAACACTACTGTTTTTCATGATTCCCTCATGAGGAAGTCTATACAAAGGTACCCCCGAGTATTCCTATCTTAACCCATTTAAGGTGTGTCACCTACGAACGTCTCTTTACAGATTGTGATAGTCACCCCACAAATGGTTTGAGAAATTAACCACTGCTATGCGTCAATATGGTTTCAAACAGGCACACAAGGGCCACACTTTGTTTCTGTTTCAGCGTAGGCCTAATACCTTAGCTATCTTGGTTTAGCTTGACAATATTCTTATTTTTAAGTAATAACACCACTTTGTGCTCATCTATCAAACGATATCCGACAACTAGCTGCTTCGCCTAGTACCACAATGCTTATATTCCTCTCACATAACCTCGTTTTCATGGTTTAGGATGCTCCCATTTCGCTTTCCGTTACTAATGGAGTTGCTTTTGCTTTCTTTTCATCTGAAGAATCTGGATCCCTTGAAATATTTTTTCGAAATTGAATATGCTCGATCGTGTACTGGGATGGTGTTTGCCATGCAAATATGAATTGGATATCTTGATTGAAGCATGCCTCTAGGGATGTTACTTAGTAGCCCTATAACACCTCGACCCCCGCCCTGGCCATAAGTGTCCGCTTATAGGATTGTAGACTGGCTTCACAAACTAACACAAGTATTTCCCACGCACTTTATCCTCACTCGTGCGTCTAGGGACATTTTATAGGGGTCACCCATTGTAAATAGTGATAACCATTCGGTATTGTTTCGTGGAGCTAATCTAGTGTTCCATGCGTGAAAGAATCATATTGATATTGGTTGTCATATTTCTCAGGAATGTATTCAACGTAGAGAAGTCTCGACTCATTATGTTTCCACTCGTCTACAATTTGTCGATTTATTTACCAAAGCGTTATCCAAGCCTACTTTTAAGTTTTATTGTTCAAGTTGGACATTCAAACAATCATGCACCAATCCGAGGGGAGTGCTAACGGGTATTTAACTGCAAATGGGCTTAAGATTTGCAAATGGCCGGGGTTGTGTTTAGTTCTCTCCTGTAATCATCTATATATCGTGTTGTTGATTATGAAGACAATGGTATGCAACACACACTACACACAAAACATTTAGTAATTTTATTTAGGATCACATCTGATCGAAGTATACACATTATTATACTTATTGTTGAGTATATTTTATTGGATTGATATATAGGGCCTGTTCGAGAATAGCGTTAGAGATTAGCGTAAGCGTTTTGAAAAAGCTATTTACGATCATCGTAGATATACTCGGTATGTAACGCAAACACTACTCTCTAACGTCATTTCAAACCGACACATAATAATATACTCGGTAACACAAACACTTAATAGGAATAATTAGGGCTGTAAACGGATAGCCGAAAATCCGATTACCGTCCGCATCCGTATCCGTTTGAAGAGGAAATATCCGCATCCGTTTTAAACAGATATTATCCGTATCCGATTAAGGATATCCGATTACTAAACGGATACGGATCTGGTAATTGTATATCCGATCCGTTTAAAATCCGATCCGAATATGCATCCGTTTAAATAACCGTTTATCCGAATATCCGATCCGTTATATATAGTTTTTCCTAATTTTTTATGTTTATAATTTGTTTCTCTATTGATATTTCAAAATATAAGACATTTTTATATACAAAATAAATGTGTAGACNGTTTTATCATATGAAGTTATCGTAAAATATTATAAATCATGAAAACAAAGAAAATAATAATCTCATACCAACTTATAGTTGATTTAATAATAGTTTGACTTTAATCTAATTTAAAATTAAAGTATTGTTTAATTTGATTTTAAAAATTAGAAACGGATACGGATTTATCCGATATCCGACCGATATCCGACGGATGCGGATACGGTTTTGATTTTCAGTATCCGTCAAGATCCGTATCCGAATTCGATATCCGACAAAAATAAACGGATACGGATTTGGTAATGGCACATCCGATCCGATTAATATCCGTTTACACCCCTAGGAATAATAGTTGAAAGTACTAATTAATTATAGAAATTAATTAGCAATAAGTGGTGCACAAAGACGGCGATCATTAGAGTCATAGAGCTGGCAACCGCGTTTTCGGCTCACACAGCAATTGGTGCAGCCGCCTGAGCCTATTTTTGTCTTTTTATTGTCTGGTAAGCAGCGGATATACACCGCCTTTGTGTTGCATTCTAGAGTGCAAATCGTCTCGGCATTTCCATTTTTACCCTCTAGAATCATACCTGCCACACACACATATTGTTATATTGTTCTATTAGCGGTCGATATTTTTTGTAAATGAGCCATGTCCTTGAATATTTGTTTAGTTTAACTTTTTGCACTTAGTAATTTTTTTTTATCTTTGACCTTAAATTATACGGAGTATAAAATTTATAAAATCTATTAATTAGATAAAAAAGTATTTTGAAAATACTATATAAAACATGTCTAATACTCCCTCCGTCCAAAATTATTATCTCCCCGTTGCACGTTAAGATATTTGACTGAAATTATATTATCAAATCATTTTAAACCCACACATAGATAAATAAATAAATAAATAAATAATATATATACACACACACACACACATATATACATATATATAATGTTATTAATTAATGAGGTCGTAGTTCAATTTCTCACAAAAAAATATGAACATCTTCTTCTAATTTCGATTATATTATTATGATATAATAGTGCGTACATAATAATTTTTAATCCAAAAAATATTTTTTTAAAATAGATTTTGAGGAGCAAAATAATTAAGGCCGGACTGATATGACTTACCACACACAAGGAGGATGATGAAGAAGCCAATTTTGTTGGACAGGGCCATGATTTCCAATATATGAAATTTGTGAGATGAAAACTATAATTTTCTTTTCTTGAAGGATTTATTGTGTTATGATTCTGAGCTGCTGCATGCTGTTATTTATAGCTCAGCTCAAAGAGTTCAAAATGGGAAATATTAATACTATTTATGTCCCAGAGTATTCGTCCAATTTGAATTGTTAAATTGAACAAATTTTAAGCTTCAATTAAATAAAAAATATGATGATGTACATTAATACAAAAATGATTATATTAGAACTAACTTGTTTTGAAGTTTCAAAATTTAATTTTATATATTGTATCATTATGTAGTGCAAATTAAAAGTAAATAATGATTAAAGTTTGTCTAATCTGACTTGAAAAAGTTAAACTAAACCATTACTTCAAGACAGAGGGAGTAATAAATAATTTAACAAAAAATTGAGAAGAAGATGGAAACATACTTACGTATGATGACATGATAAGGATTATGGAAAATACCTAATGTTTTGTCACCGTCAAGCCAAAATTGACTAAAGGTCTCCTTTTAAAAAAATATCATGGTCTCCTTATTGATCAAATGTAGTTCAAAATTTACTTGTCATCTATTTTAAAAAAAAATGTTCATATACAAAACTCGGATATACACTGATACACATTATATTACAAAAATATAAAAGCGTTCACAAGACTACAAACACAAACTTGAAAAATTAGGGGTACGATTTTAATATGCTAAATTCCGCCGTTGGTCTTTCAAGTTATTGCGTCATGTATGGTTAGTCCTTCAACTTTGAAAATTCTATGTAAAGTCTTTCAAGTCATTTTAACGGTTCAGGGTTGGTCTTTCAACTTTGAAAATTTCACGAATAATCATTCAAGTCATGTTAGATTGCATGATTGGTCCTTCCATTAATTTTGTCGCGAGTCCGATCCATGCATTTTTTCTATATTTTTTCAATTTTAAATACACGTGAGGAACTTTTTCTTCTTCATATAATTGAACCATATTTAATTTAGGTCTATTTTTAATAATAATAGTTATTCTTACTTTAATTACTCCAATTTTTACATAAAATAAGTTACTTCTGCTTTTATTAGTTTAATTTTATTAACTATAAATCACTCCGCCTTAAAGCTTTTATCAAATTTAGAATTTTTATAGTCAAGTACGTACTTTAATTTTTTACAAATATTTTAATTAAAATAAATATACAAAAAGTATGATCGACTCAAGTGTATGAATAAAAGAAAGTTCCTCAAGTATATTTATAATGAAAAATAGAAAACAATGCATAGAGTAACAATAAAATTAGCAGAAGGACCAACCACGTAACGCTAACGTGACTTGAAGGATTATCTGTGGAATTTTTAAAGTTGAAGGATTAACCATACAATGCTAACATGACTTGAAAGATTATTTGTGATGAAACTTTTAAAATTGAAACACTAACCGCGTGTTAAATGCAATAACTTAAAGAACAAGCAGTGAATTTTAACCTTTTAATAATATGAAAAAGGCATATTTAAAGTCAACCGAAGAATAAAAAACACGAACCACGTGATTTTTTAGTTATAATTGAAATTTAAAACAAGATAATTCCATCACAAATTCACAATAAATGCCATTGACCTACGGGGTTAAGTGAATAGAATTGAAATATAGAATTATGTCATGTCATGTATTATAGATTTTGATTATATATTTATTTAATTTTTTTATATAAATTTTAGAACAAACTAAAATAAAAATAATTTTAATTAATAAGTATCGTAATTTGTTCGATTTGTCAACGATTGTTTAGGATGGAGTACGTACCTTTTTAATTTTAATTTGGGGCTACTACAATTTGGCAATTTATAAGATAAAGAATATGAGTACTCATTGGATGTAGAAATAAAATAAAGAATATGTGAAAATGAGTACTTTTAACTCGTAAAAAAAGTAGAGAATACGTGGTGAACAATCTTTTTCTTTAGTATTAAAAAAATTTAATAACTTATAAACTTAATACGAAATAATTAATAAATATACTTTTCACACGTACCCATGCCAACATCATTAAAAACCTTCTTTCAATTTGTAAACTTACTATGGAAAATCAAACTTTAACCCATTTGGTTTTACTGTGAAGGGCCTCAAGAATGGTACAACATGGAAAATAGTTGTTAGAGCTCATTGTTACAATGTACCTATTACAACAGAGGGGAAGACAAAAGGTCCCGAAAAATAATATTAAATAAATTTTGAATTTACTCCGGGTATAATTTATTTAGAATGTTATAAAAGAAATAAAACAGGAAATAAGTTTTTGAGTCTTCAAAAGGTTTTGCTGTTTGAGGACATTATGCACTGGACTGCAAGGACATTTGGCATTGGCTGAAGCAGTAAGTCTGAGACGAGGACACTGTGAGCACTGGTGAGGTTGCTGGAACAACAACGAGGACAATATGACTAGTCCAAAACACCAGCAAGGACATTACGACCTGTGGCAGCAGAATCCAGCGAGGTCACTATGAACTGAACCTGTAAAAACCAAACACTGTAGAAGGACAGTGGAGTCGTCAGAGATGTCCTTAAAGGTAGTAGTGACCGTCTACCGTACTGAAAATGGGCTAAGGATTTGCAAATGGGCTGTTGTGTTTTCAAACACAGTAGAAAGACACCAGAGTCAACAGACTCATTATGTTCCCACTCGTCTACAAGTTGCCGATTTATTTATCAAAGCGTTATTTAATCTTACTTTTGAGTTTTTGTTGTTCAAGTTGGGTATTCAGGATAATCATACACCAATTTGAGGGGAGAAGATGGTTCTGCACGAATAGATTTAACAAAAAATTGAGAAGAAGATGGAAACATACTTACGTATGATATGATAAGGATTATGGACAATACCTAATAATGTTTTGTCACCTTCAAGCCAAATTGACCAAAGGTCTCCCTATTTTATTGTTTTAAAAAGAGAAATTTAATTTTAAAAAAAACCATGGTCTCCTTATTGATCAAATGTAGTTCGAAATTTACTGTCATTTAATTTATAATGTCCATATATATAAAGAACTCGAATATATATATGTATAATATACATTGATACACATTATATTACAAAAATATAAAAAGCGTTCACAATACTACAAACATTAACTTAATTGACAAATTAGGAGTAAAATCCATTGAGGTCACTATGAACTAAACCTGTAAAAACCAAACACCGTAGAAGGACAACAGAGTCGTCGGAGCTGTCTTTAATGTAGTAGTGCCGCCTACCGTATTAGAAAAACGGAGACATTCTCCTCCCAAGGTAAAACTGCTATCGTGTGTGGTGATTCACTACGTCAAAAACAGATGCAGACAACTGTTTCTTTTAGTTGTCTAACTGTGTTGGTTTCAGTAGTCTTCCGAGCAGCTGTCTGATATATTTACAGACAACAGTTAAAAACAATTGTGTAGTACGATTGACGACACCTATTTTGTGATCTTTCAGAGTACATGTTTTTGAAGTTGTCCTCGTATGAGTAAGACATCTGTTTTCTAGAGTTAAAGACAATTGTGATTTTTTGTTGTCTATCTATAATATATACTACTGTTGTTTTCAACTTCAGACTCCTATTGTTTGGTGTTGTCGGTCAAAAGTATAGATATCTAATTTTTAAAGTAGTTGAAACATATATCAGACTGCTGCTCGGAAGACTACTAAATAGAAATAGTGTTAGACAACTGTTATCTAATGTTATATTTCTAAAACATAGATTACTAATTTTGTTGTATGTTAAACAACCGTTTCTTTCAATTGTATAGTGCGCAATAACACAATGCTTTTTTGTAGTTGTCCTTAAAATATTCAAACTATATTTTTGAACAGTAGTATAATTGATTATCAGACATCTGCTCAGAAAACCACTACAAATATTTTCATCAAACAACTATTATTTTGTGTTGTATGTACAAGCTAAGACTACTACTTTGGTCTTATTTTAAACAACTGTTTATTTTTGTTGTATAACAATTATTAACACTATGATTTTGTTTAGTGGTCCTTGAAATATTCAAACTATATGTTTAAGTAGTAATCGAATTAGTTATCAGACAATTGCTTGAAAGACCACTAGAAATATTTGCATCAAACAACTGTTGTTTTTTAAAGTATATCTAGAACAAAGAAGACTATTTTGTTTCATATCAAACAACTGTGTTTCAGAAGCACCCATATTTAATAATTAAAATTTATTTCAATTATATAAAATATTAATCATGAAACAAAAATAAATCATATATTCAAAATATTAATATCATATAATAACTTAATATTTACTTAAATATTAGTGGAGCAACTTAATACAGCATACATATTACAAAGGTTTAAAAAAGGCAACACATTTTGGATAATGATACATCAAAATAAAATTTGTGAAATGTCTATCACAGGCAGAGTATGTGGAAGAGTGAGTATCATAGGCAAGGCAGAGTGACTTCTTAAACTTTACTTGGCCTCTCAAACTTGCAAGATTAAGACAATTCCTTGCTAAGCAATACCAACAGTCCCTGGGATTG